AAAGGCCCCGTCATTGCCGGAGGTAGCTGTCGTTCTCGCCGGTTGGAGCAAAAGCATGGCCACCGTCGCCGTCGGTGGCCACTGCCGCAGTCGCCGGTTCCAGCACGGGGCTGTCTGGTTGCAGCAAAAACCATTAGTGGTTCCAGCAAAAAAGGGCACGTATGTAGCAAAAAGAACATGGTTCTGCTTCCGCCTCCACATAACAGAAAAATTGCACCGAGTCAAAGCAAATCCAAAGAATATCATGGTTCCAGCAAAACAAATGTATGGTTCCAGCAAAAAAATCGCCCAGTTCCAGCAAGAACATATGCTCGCTGTCTCCGGATCGTAGCAAATATTCTAGCCGGTCCCAGCATAATACGCGACTGTGTCGATGTATGCTGGAACTGATCACCAGGGATGCTACAACCGTGGTTATAAAAAGCTGAAACCGACCGCCAGGAAAGTTGCAACTGGCCAGAGTAGTAGTGGAAGCCGTGATGCCGTCACCGTCGATGTTACAAATAGTATGTACAAAAGCTGGAACCGGCAACGTAATTTGTTTCAACGGCGAGAGACTGCCAGACTGCGATTGCTGGAACCGTCGGCGAAAAAATGTCGTGACCATGCTGCGAGGAAGCTGCAACTGGCAAAAACAATGGTGATGACGGTGCTTCAACCTAGAGCGCAAAAAAATTGCTACAGAGAGACGCCATGGCCATCGTCGAGGAAGAAAAGCCGGTTCCAACAATTTCATGTAAACGGGTTGAGGCTTTTTAAATGTAGGGTTGAAGCTTTCATGTAAACGGTTGCAGCTTTTTTCATTTGGGCAAGAAATCGATAGCTGAAGCTTTTTTCCACCGTCGACGTTTGCTGCACGGGTTGCACGAATGATGGGCACCAAACATCACCATTAAGATAGATGTAGCAAAAATTCTCTGGTGGTAGCAAAAGACAACGACATTTGCAACAAAAAACATCGTTGTTGTTGTCCCGGGTGCATCTCTGCCATGAATTGATGTAGCAAATTTCTTCGTCAGTTGTAGCAAAATCCGACGATAGTTGCAGCAAAAAATCGTTGTCCCAGTCATCTGCACGAACGCTGGCCACCAATCATCACCATTAAAAATGGATGTAGCAAATAAACACACTGGTCATAGCAAAAGACAACGGCAGTTGCAGCAAAAATCGTCAACGTTGCAGCAAAAAACGGATGTAACTTCGTCCGTCTGCAGTTGTAGATATTTTTCTCACCCCACAGCTTGAGCGGTTGGTGAAAAATAGAGCTGACCGAGTAAACGTGGTGGGCCAAGGCCACGTGATGGGCCAAGAAAAAAAACAACATGGATCGGGAGGTGCGGGAGCGCTGGATCGCTACCCGATCGAGCTTCGGCCGGTGCACCGTTTGTAAACAATTCCCATACTCCTATATGGCAACTGGTCATGGCCTCCTCAGCAGCCTAGATGAGATAATCCACAACTACTCAAACCACGGCTAGACCTGAACAAAGAAGTCGATCATGTAGACATCGTTGTTCGACGTGCTCGCCCCGGCCATGTAAACCATGGAGCTGTACCCGCGGGCCATCCGGAACTCGCCGGTCCCCCCGAGGACGCTGCGCTCGACGGTGGCCCGTAAGTTCTGTACCGTGCCCAGCATGGCCAGCGTGCTCCCGCGGTGCCGCCCGGCCGTGAACACCACGTTGGCCGCCGACAGCAGGCCCGGCGTGCCCGCCAGCCCCGCCTCGGCGACCAAGCCCTGGAAACGGCCAAGGGGTGATGAGCGCCACCGGTCTGGGCTGTCCCGCAGCTCGTTGTCCAGCACGGTGATCTGCCCAAACGTCGCGCCGCCGCCCAGCGGGGACTGCACCGACGTCTCCTCCGTCGCGTTCGGACCCGTGAGGGTCTGGTGCATGTACGCGCGAATGCGCTTTAGGTTGGTGCCGTGGAGGTGGGCACCGCGCGGCACGGCCGCCGACGAGGCCAGCAGGACGAGGACTAAAGTCAGTAGCTGGAGGAAGGAGCCATGACGATCAAGCGATGGATTGAGTTTATCTTGGCTGGATAGGTTCATACTGCTATATTTATAGGCTTCATTGCGTTTGCCTAGAGTGCATGACAACATTAATCATGGTCAACTGACTTGATATTTCTACCTAAGATAACCATGGTTCAGAGAACCGATTCTGATTGATATTTCTTATATGTAACTTAATATAATATGTTTTTTGACACTGTCAGGAACTTTAACATCGTCTTATAAAAAGTTACAGAGGAAGTACATCAGATCACCGTGGGTCAATTGATTTCATATTTTATGCTTAGAAAGGAATTTTGTGCTTTTGTACTACACCAGCTAACTACATGTTGAATGATCAACTACACCAGCCAACCTATATAATTGGCAAAGTTCGTTTGTAGCTCGTCCTACCCGGGGACATGGTGCACATTATATAATTACATGGTGCACATTATCCATGTGCCCCACATCAGCAGTATAATTGTGTCCTTTTCAAATGTCGGTACTACCCAACTACCGCTGGATGGGCTGCAAGATAAGAACAGCGACACGATGGAAAGGGGACATTTACCAAACTATCAGCTTCAAGGTGTGTGCATCACGCCATCGCTTGATGCAGACGCTCGAGAAAACCCTCTGTTATATTAAAAAAATGTAACAGCTTCAGATTGGAAGAGAGAGCGATTTGTATAAAACGTAGCGTCAATCTCTGTTGGGATTTGGTTTATAGCAGTGCATAGCAGAGCAGCCCAAAATTTGAAATATCAGCTTAGAACAAAATTTCGAAATATGAGCCATCCTCCATCCAGGTTTGCAAAGCCATCGGGCCAAAACCACTAGGAAGAAGGTGAGAACGCCATGTCAACCATGGAAAAACGAAAAAACTTCATGCACCTATGGCCGAATGGACCAATGGGGAGGGAGAAAGGCTCATGGGCGTGCACTTGTTCTTGCTCAGCTAACTACGGGAAAACAGGTGGAGCACCGCTTGCTACAGGGCCGGTCAAGGGCCCTGACCTTGTGCATATTTACATACTGTACACTGCTAAAAAATGGACTTTGCCGAATGTGTGCCCCTTTGTCGAGGGTCAAATCACCGGATCTCCGCAACAACCACGTAAGACGAGCACAGTTCTTGGCAACATGCCCGACTCGGCACAGGTGTGCCGTCGCTGAAAACCAAATAAAGAGGGCTTGACAACTAAAATAAGCTCGACTTATATGACCTATGCCGAGTTCGAGACGCCCGGCACTCAGCAAAGTGTCTGTCACGTCGGTATAATGGCAGTTATTGTTTGCTCCTTCATGGGCCGCTTTACCCGAATTCCCACATTATGGGGCTCGGCATACTTTTTGTCGGCCGTTTACTTTTTTCGTCATCTCGTGGACAGCTTCCTAGTGCGCGACGAAAGATAGTTGGCCAAAACTTGGCCCTTCAACTCTCAACATCCTATATATAGGTAGAAACCCATGCTCGGCTGTCCTCCCCACCACCATTGTGCCGTCCACCACTCCCTACCACGCCGCTGAGGTTTAGTGATTACTTGTGATTTGTTATGATGCTTGTGTGGACCATAAGTGATGCTTTTGTGAGCAGGAAGTTACATGAGCTTGTTCGAATGTATATATGTGATTTGGCCATAATGTGGTACTATTTGTGATATGGGCTGTATATATGTGTTATGTTGCAGGGCTAATGAAAAACTATTCTAAAAAGAACAGTTGACAGATGGTTTGACGAGTGCAGAACTCGGCAAAAAGGGCAAGGCCGAGGGCCAAACTCGGAAAAATGCCATGTGTCACACTCTGGTCACTCGGCAGATGCTTTGCCGAGTATTTATAAATAAATTGTGGCAAAACGGAGAGCTTGGGTCACTATTGTCGACAATATACCGAGTACCAGATCTCGGCAAAATTAGGTAGATAGCAAAAACTTTTTGCCAGGAGCCATTAGTCGGACATTGGCAAGCTTGGGGCATCTTGCGGGCCCAAGATTCAAAAATATTACCTGTGGTGGTAGTTTTCCCTGTCTAAGTGTCGAACTTTTGTGAGTGGCATCGCATGTGTAAGAACATGATTTCTGAAATTCTAGAAACTTTCTAATGCAAATAGATATTTGCCTAATTTTGCCAAGGACTAAAAAATATACAAACAAGAAAAAAACAAGATGGTGTTTTCTGCAAATTTGAAGCAAACATGATTTTAGTTTGTTCCAATTTAAAAACATTGCGTACCAACAGAATCATTTCAAGATTCTGATCCAAAAACATATAAAATTTGTCAAAATTGATGCAAGTATGAATTACTTGTACTTTTGACAAAGTATAAGGATCTATTTGCATCATGTCCCATTTTTTATATTTTCAAAAACAGAAACAAAGTGGATATTCATAATCTATGAATTTTTTACCTCAAATTGATATATAATTTGTAGATTTTTAAGTATAGATAAGTCATATTTAAATTAATAAAATTCAAATAAAAACAGAAATGGATTTACAATTTAAAATAATAAGATATACTACTGTCGGCCGCCATCAGGCCGTCGGCATATATTTAATGATGTCAGCCTTCTGTCTGCCAACGGGCCGCCAGGGCCATGTGTTGGGACGTATGCCGACGGCTGCATCTGTGACGACGGCATCCTCAGCTTATATAGACCCTACAGCCATTTGTTAGACTTCCTATTGTAGCTCTACTGTGTAAACCATACCTTATTGGTATTGGATTTGTATGTCATCATTATATATATGTGATAGGCCACCCCTTTGAGGGTTGAGCCAGTTCCCCAAAAGCTATGTTTTACATGGTATCGAGTCTAACCTAGGTCCTCCACCTCCACCCAACCCGCCGCCGTCGCCGCACCAAAACCCTAAACCCTAGGGCTGCTGCCGCGGGCGCCATCACCGCTTACGGTTCGGGCGCCGCCAGCTTCAGGTCTATCCCCGCGTGGCTTGCCGCCCTCCTTAAACTCCCACCTCGTCCTGGCTCCGTCAGTGCCTCAGTTCTTCGGCACCACCGCCATCGGCTCCCTATTTTCAGTGCCGATCCCACCGTCACCGCTCGCGACGGCCTCAGCACCAGTCGCGCCGCCGCCGCCCGTGATGGCCTCCTTTGGATCCTCCTCGACACTCGCCATCATCCCGGCGACCTCAGGGGAGACGCTGCCCGTGGAGCCACCCGCGGCCTCGCTCACGGCACCACCCACGGTCGTGATCCCGATCGTCCCCGCGCCGCCACCCACGGCATCGGTCGCGGTCGTGGATCCTGTCGCGGCTCCGTCGCTAATTGTCCCTGCTGCTGGCGCAATCACGCCCACCGGGCCGTTCCACTTTGACAACTTGATCGCCATCCGATTCATACCGGACAACTACTTGTTCTGGCGCGCCAAGGTCCTACCGCTGCTACACAGCCGATCTCTCCTTGGGTTTGTTGATGGTTCGTTATCGTGTCCTCCGTGGGTCATCGCTACAGTCCACGGCCCAGCCATCAACCCGGAACACCGTATGTGGGTGCAGCACGACCAGGCAATCCTCTCTGCCATCCAGGGTTCCCTCGGCGACGGGGTCTCTGGCCTTTGTCTCTTCGCCGCCACCTCCATGGATTCCTGGACGACCCTGGAGCACGCCTTTGCCTAGGTCTCTACCTCCCGCTCGATGGCCCTTCGCAGTGAACTCGCCGACATCAAGAAGCTGGACTCCTCCGCTACGACCTACTTCAACAAGATGAAGGTGCTGGCGGACATGCTCACCTCTATTGGTCAGCCGCTTAGCGACGAGGAGTTCGCCACGCCGGCTTCATCATCAAAGGCCCCGACGCTGATTACGACATTACAAGAAATATGTTAATACGTGACAGTTTTGATCCGTCATGTATATCGCATCATAATTTGACAGCATACCTTACATGACGACTCTTGTCCGTCATGCATCTGCCCCAGGCCCGCCCAGGCCCAATCCATTGTGACGGAACAATCCGTCATGGACTAACATATGTAAGATTTTTTATTCACCAATTCGAATGACGTGTCTACCTATCATGGATAGTATTTTCCGTCACAAAATTCGTCGTGGCTGAGCACATTATCCCATTTCTTTCAACCCATTTTTTAGTATAATGCATTACACGAAGCCTAATGGCAATTTTGGTCCAAGAGAAAATATTTGATAAGTACAACATTACACAGTTCACCTCTATGTATCTACATCATAGCAGTTTGTAAATTCCTCTACAAAATGATAACTTGCAATTTTTATTTACAAAATATATCACACATCATAAGTACACTTCATTTTACATCAACAGATCATACAAACTATCGAGGCTGTTATTTAGGTTCTTGCTGTCGGCCCTCCTGATGTTTGATTGTGATGAGCAGCACCAAGTAGCACATTGCCCAATCTTACCTGCATATTCACAAGAACCATAGATGATTGTATATATATGAACAAATACTAGAAATAATATTATTACAACAAATATAAAAATGATTTCCATGTCCAAAATTCTTAAATCTTATAGTGCCTACAAATGAGAATAGTAATGTATCTACTATAAAATAAGAGTAAACATGAGGTTTCTTAAAAAATTATCAAAAGCAAAGTGTGTCAAATGACAAAGTAATACACACGTCACAGAACTAAGTACTACATCATTGAGGTTGTCATTCAGGTTCTTGTCGGACCTCTTGAAGGCAGCTATCATTTTGTTGTCATACCTAGAATATTTCACTAACAAACATATGCATGACGTGAAGCCTCTGATCATCGAACCGGGCACCGTAAACTTCAAATGTTCGTATGTCAACAAGTTTACAAATGAAACTCAAATATTTAACCTACAAGTTCATCTTGAAGTGCTGACAACAGTAGCATAACATATTTAAGTGGTATAGACTGATCAAGCAACTTTGAGAAATTGCCAAAGGAGTGCCATGTAACAAATAATCTATTTACATGGTTACAAGAAATAGACTAGCAGCAATCTGTGAGCACACATGTCTCTGTTACATGTGCAACCCTGGCATATACATACTGTCGGTGTCAAAACCGGTGGATCTCGGGTAGGGGGTTCCGAACTGTGCGTCAAGGCCGGATGGTAACAGGAGACAAGGGACACGATGTTTTTACCCAGGTTCGGGCCCTCTCGATGGAGGTAATACCCTACTCCTGCTTGATTAATATTGATGATATGGGTAGTACAAGAGTAGATCTACCACAAGATCAAGGAGGCTAAACCCTAGAAGCTAGCCTATGGTATGATTGTTGTATATGGAGTTGATGTCCTACGGACTACAACCCTCCGGTTTATATAGACACTGGATAGGGTTAGGGTTACACAGAGTCGGTTACAATGGTAGGACATCTTGAATATCCGCATCGCCAAGCTTGCCTTCCACGCCAAGGAAAGTCCCATCCGGACACGGGACGAAGTCTTCAATCTTGTATCTTCATAGTCCTGGAGTCCGGCTGAAGGTATAGTCCGGCTACCCGAACACCCCCTAATCCAGGACTCCCTCAGTAGCCCCTGAACCAGGCTTCAATGACGACGAGTCCGGCACGCAGATTGTCTTTGGCATTGCAAGGCGGGTTCCTCCTCCAAGTCCTTCATAGAAGATTGTAAACACCAAGAGTAGTGTCCGGCTCTGCAAAATAAGTTTCCACATATTGCCATAGAGAGAATAATATTAACACAAATCAAATCTGCTGACGTATTCCGCAGTGCGTCATCACACTACGGCCAAGTCCTTTACTCGAATCGTTTTTACTTTTCCACCTCAGCACGTTTTGCGAGGCGGTTTCCTTGGCACGTCTTGTCAAAGCAGAGATCGTGTACCCCCTTTTACGGGATTCTCATCAATACGGACGTGGGTGACCCAACCACGCCCGTTAGCACGTTTCCTCGATTAAAGATGAGTCCCGAACGGTTACGGGGAGGGCTCTTGGTATTCAACCTCTTATAAAGAGACCAAGGCCTTACTCCTTTTTTCAATCTCAAGCGAGTTCGCCCGTCGCCTCGAGTTCCAACACCCTAGGCTCCAGATTCCAGGCGCTTCGGACCTTCGATAATGTCCGGTTCTGACCTTCAAGGCCGATGGACGCCCTCCTCCGTCACGGAGGAGGACATACTAAAGTTGAGGGAGGCTAAGTTCCTGACCGGCGAAATTTCGCATAGGTTGCCTGCTCAAGGGCAGGTCATTCCCAGTCCCCAGCCTGGTGAGAGCGTGGTGTTCATGTCTCACTTCCTTCGGGGGTTGGGCTTCCCAATGGATCCCTTTGTGAGGGGACTGCTATTTTATTACGGGCTGGAATTCCATGACTTAGCTCCAGAGTCCATCCTCCATATCTCCTCGTTTATTGTCGTGTGTGAAGCGTTCCTCCGTGTTACCCCTCACTTCGGATTATGGCTCAAGACCTTCAAAGTGGAGCCGAAGATGATCAAGGGACGACACACAGAGTGCGGAGGCGCTGTTATAAGCAAAAATGCTGATGCTCCATGGCCCGAGGGCTCTTTTCAAGAGGAGCTAGGCTTGTGGCAACGAGAGTGGTTTTATATCACCGCTCCCCGGAGCACCAAGTGGGTGGCGCCTCCTGCCTTTCGCTCGGGTCCCCCACCACGGCTAGCGTCATGGGTCAACAGAGGGTTAGATTGGGGTTTGCCCAAAGACATGCCCTTGTTACAGGGCCGCATTAAGGATCTCTTGGAAGGAGACCTCAGCCTGGTCAAGGTGACGCAGGTCATGTTGTTTCGCCGAATATTGCCCGGCAAATGTCGCTCCCTTCGCCTGTGGGAGTTTAATCCAGAGGGACCGCGAGCTCTCCAGAATTTCATGGGCGCAACGCCCGCGGAGATGTATAAAATGTTCTTCGGATCACAAGAGATGTGTCCGGATTTAACCGAGGATGCAGGCCTAAGCTGCAATCGCCCGGATACTCAAGTAAGCAACCTTGTGCCCGGACCTTCTATCCGTATAATTGTCATAAACTTGCCCCTAAAAGAGCTGTCCTTTTAAACATGAGTGGATAGCGAAGGCAAAGCTGATCAGGTGTCCGACTCCCCTTCCCGAAACCAGGCCGGATCCCGTGCTGGTCAGGATGCTGGAGATAATGCCTTTGGAGGGAAACAAGGGGGAGGACAAGGAAACTATGGCCTCCTCGAAGGAGGCTGCTCCGAAGGGAGGAACCGACAATTCTTCTCCTAAGGGGAAGAAGAGGGCCGCTTCTGACGACCCCGAAACCATGGCCTCGAAGCGGGGGAAAAAAATCCTCGTCAGAGGGTCCGACGCCGGGGAGTTCCTCAGCCGGACTACGCCCTCAAGGGGATCAGCCCTCCAGCGAGCCGTAAGTAGAGAAAGATTTTCCTTTTAAGGGATGAGGGAAATCCTTGATTTATATCTGAGAAGATTAACCAAAATTTTACCTTGTAGCTCGGACCTCAGCCCTTCTCAGCAGAGCTCATCTTCGGGGGATCTCCTTCCGGAGATGATGGAGAGCGGGACGCCTCCCCTAGCCGTGCCGCCTAGCGAGGCGGGCGACCCTGAGGTGTCGTCGCGGAGGGTTTCTCCGAATCCTGCAGGGGCGGAAGATAGCTATGTGCCCCCCTGAGGTTCTCCGCGTCCGGCCTTCGAAAGAGGTCATGGGACAAGTCCGGCACCGTCTGGTGCTCGGCCGGAGGAGCTAAAGATTCTGCTGGGGCGAGCTTCTATCTCGGAGGAGCACCGTGCATTGATGGGCACGGTGATTGAAAGGATCTCATCCGCAGAGAGTGGACTGCATGAGGCCGTCAAAATTTTATTGACGGGTTTTGATGTACATTAGAAAATGTACACTTTTGTCAGTTGCGCATGAATAAGATTTGCCCTGTGTAGATAGTAGCCCCTGAGACTCTGCGCGTCGTTAAGAAATGACGGCACGCGGAGGATCATAATCCCAGGTCTAAGATGTCGCCTTTGAATGTAGGCGGCAGGGTGTCCGGAATCGAGCCGAACTGATGATTTTGCCGAACTAAAGCGGCAACTGGACGTGGCAGATGTTGACATCGAACCTGTCAACAAGCGGCTTGATGAGGCTCAAGGTATGTAATTCCTCGGGCGGCATCAGGTAAGAAGAGTTTTATGCCAGTGTCTTACGATGTGTGTGCTTGACGCAGATGATGCGGCCGCCGTGGAGAGTCTCAGGGCAAAACTTGCCCGAGCTAAAGAACAAGCCAGAGAAAGTGATGCGGCTGCCAAGAAAGCCCTTGAAGAGCTGAGAGCCGAACAGGATGCTCATTGCCAAAGCAAGGAAGAGATGGCCGAGATGGCCGAAAAGTTAAAGAGCGCTGCAGACCGTTGCAGACTTTTTGAGAAAGAAG